TTGAGTATATTATTTTAAAAAGAGTCAGAAATGGATAACAAAACTGCTATTTTCAATGACTACTTATTTTTGTCCAGCTTTAACATCGGTATCGATATCGGTTATCGGCTACATGAGTTTTAAAATATCGGCATATCGGATATCGGCCAAAATCCCAATATCGTGCATCCCTAGTTAGTATTGCAGTGTTTCCCGCAGCACTATCTTGGCGAGGCGACCGCCTCGCCAAACTCACGCTACTGCCTCGCCAACGTTCCAAAAAAAAAAAACCAAAAAAAACCAAAAAAAAACGAAGTTTTAATTGATTGCCAGGCCCAGACCTTAAAACAGCATTGAAAACTCTACAGCTGATAATACTGAATTGCGACACCCTCTGGTTGGTTATATTACTACGCCATGGCAGAGGAGTCATTTTCTTTGATCATCATCGGTGGAATGAGCTGAATCTGATTGACTGTCTACCTCAAAGACGGATGTTTGCATTTTTATATTTTCAATAAATTAATTGAAAGTAAAGTGAACCTGTTGATTATTTTGTTCAAGCTAACTGTTTTTACATCGTCTCAGGCAGGTTAGATATCAAGCAACGTCTACTAAGACTCTGATACATTTTGAAAAATTAAAACTTGTGTTTTGCTTAAATATCTGATCCTTCTGCTAACACAATTTTGGTTGTTTATAGCATCTCTTTCAATGCGATAAAAACACTAAATAATAATTTTGACTATGTATTGGTATGCAATTTACGGTGGTGTAAGGTGCTGGAAAAAGTTTTAAAATGGATCTTGAAAGTGCTTGATTTTGACTTTGGAAAAGGTGTACGAACTCTGTCTTTTATTCTCCCAGAAAAAAAGAAGAGATAAAATAACTTATATCAATAAAGCACGGTAGTGGAGGGTGGATGATTTGGGCTTATTTTGAAGGACTTTGAACAAGCCTTTCATCAGCAGATCAATGATCCCAAAGTAATCGCCTAGGATACGACGGTCCAATCAAAGTCCAGACATCAGCCTCATGTAAAAGCTTTAAAAAGCTTTGAAAAACCAAATATCTTCAAACTTCCATTAGTGGGACCTTTGGCTGAATCTCTTTTTTATATGCAGATTCTGTTTTGCTTCAATAAATCATGCCAGAGTGAAAACTGATCAGTTTCTGAACATAATTTTTGTGATATTCTAACAGATAAAACCATAGATAAATTGAGGACTATATATATCGTCTCTATAAAGCTAAAAAAAAACAGGAAAGGTGTAAAGATAAAAGAGAGGATCTGTTTTGTCTTTGTGGACAGGTACTTTTTCTGTGAAGCTGCAGCACCCCCAGCAGGCACATGGACTTGAGCATCTCCGTTATGAACATCTCCAGGCAGCACTGCAGCTGGATGAAGAGACGGCAGATTTCAGGATGGATCTCTCCGTCCTCCGGCCTGCGATGATGGGAGACGGATGGAGGTGGAGGAGGAGATTCAGGCACACAGAGATGAAGGGCACATTATGAATGATTACAGCGCTACATTTAGACTGGCTAATGTTTCCCTGCAGGCTCATCTTTCATTTCTGCACAGATCGGTGCCCTTGATTCAGGCTTTTAACTGTAATACAGGAGGAAGGAAAGGAAAAGTTCTGCACACTGATAAAAAACAGTATTTTTACAGGTATTTCTCAATGCATTTTTTGTTTCTTGCAGTATAGATGTTTTTTTTTTTCTATTGCATGCAATTTTAGTATAGAAATATCCAGAAATCAACACAAATAAACGCATAAAATGGTAAAAATACAACACCATGATATTTTATTACAGTGTTATGTATGTTATAAAAGCTGGAGAAGCAATAATATGAATGATTGATATGATGTGAGATGCTGTGGAGTCTGGTTACCCTGATCCAGAGATGATGGCCAGGTCCTGGTGCGCAGCCCGGGCCATGGAGCAGCCTTTGGAGCGGGTTTGGTGCATCTGAGCCCGCAGTGCCGGACAGTCCACAGAGATCTCCCCCACAGATATCACCTGCTCCCGGTACAGAGCCACCAAGGTGTTGAATTCCTGAACAGTCTGAGCGAAAACAAACCAAACCGCAGCCAGTTTTTATCCAGAAATCATTACCAGACCCTGTTTTTTTCTGTTTTTTCTACCCACCATCCTGCTGTCGTCCACGGCCGCCTCCGTGCTCTCCCGCCGCTCCGGCTCCGCCTGCGCCCCTTTGCTGATGGGGAAGATGCTCCCTGCGGATCTCGGGCGCTTTTTCCGGCCGTACGGTGCAGAACACATGCATGCAGCCCCTCCGCCGGAGCCCACCCAATGAGAGGAAACCCTAAAATACAGAAATGTCAAACCTGACACCCCCCCACCCACCCCCCTCCGGTCCGACAGGAAAAATGACTCAGCTCAGACGGTCCCCTCCCCCCGGCTGTTAGCGCTGAGTTCCCGGGGAAACAGGAGCTGGTGTCCGGCGGAAGGGAGCCGCAGCAGCCGCCTCTGCATCCCAGCCGACAGGAGAGTCACCTTCAGCCGCCTCTGAAGGCCGACAGGGAGGCTGCTCCGTCTTCCGCCTCTGCCTCACGTGTGAGGGAGCCAACGGCAAAACAAGTCGTCACCCTCCGAATGAAAATTAACCGTTTATGGGAGACCAGACGGTGCAGCCATTTAGATATATAAAAAAAATATACATAAATAAATAAAAAATACACGAAAGAAACAGACTTCTTTATTTATTTTAATTATTTATTTTTTCCAG